GCCTACCGATACATAAGATGGGGTTTCCCCCATGGGATTCATTTAACGAATGATAACTCTAAAAGTTCGCAAATAACTTTTAGGCAAAGTAATCGTTTAGATTTCTGGGTCTATGGAGGAACTTCGGTTCTCTTTGTATTTTGTACCGTATGTCAGAGAGGTACTTTCGCAGACCGCGGCATGGTTATGTCCATATTACGTGGAACCACTGCGTTAGCAGATATCTTTTTTGCCACGCACCATCTGGTTTTCGGATGAGCTCTTCTCCTCGGTCTCTCACGAGCGCTATGACATGTCCTTCTTCAAACGAGGTTCGGGGAGTCCACAGCGGTTTGGTTGCGTCCCTGGAATTGCTAATGTTTATGAGCGATGGTGGATACCATCAAGAACAATACCCATACAAGGATATATCATAAACGCAATACAAAAAGTCTCATCCGTAGAGAACGATGTTGACATTTAAGTCTATCTCCCTTTGTCTCTCTTTACAACTCCTACCTGCATTACCCCAAAAATTTGTGTATCGATTCACCATTTTTTACTATTACGTGTAATGTTAAATGAATAGACCCAACGCTACGCTGTATTCGATATCGCGTCTTTACCGGTGATATGATTGTTTGTGTTCTCGGTCAGGAGGCGCACAATTCGCACAGATGGTCGAGTACCGTCCCACCGTCGGTTCGACTACCACGACTAGGACGAAAAAGAAGTTCAAAAGGAAAACGACAACCACCAAACCGACTACCAAGCCACCAACCAACTCGACCTTACCAGCAACCAACTCGACCTTGCCAGCAACCAACTCGACCACACCAGCAACGAACTCGACCTCACCGAAAAAACCATGAATTGTAACGAAGCGGATCTGGACCTTCGTCCTGCTCGACCACGGGCTAGATATTAAAGAATATACGCTTTTATCTCGTCTTTATTTTTCTTTTGCCTTTATTAAATAAATACCTTATTACCAGAAGGTAACATCAATAAAAAAAGCTTTATTGAATACTAGCTGACCTGGCAGACTTCGTAGTGCCTCAATCGATAAATAAAAGACCTAAACTAAAAGGAATCTGTCCGACACATCAAAGGGAAAACAAAACGATTATTTTTATTTAGTGCCGAGTATTTTCATATTTATCTACCTTTTAAACCTTCTCTGGACTTCCACAAATAATTCAAGACCAAATCGGTCCAGCCGTTCTCGAGTTTTAGCGAGACTAACGAACAACAATTCATTTTCATATATATAGATAGATAGATTTTAGGGGGAAAAAAGATTAAATTTCAAATTCACTAATAGAAGACACGGGAGTAGTGTGGTCGTTGACCCAGATTTACAACTGACCTCTTAGACTCCCCGCGTACTAGGCATCCCAGAACTATTGGCCGCGGCGACCAATACAACGCGTGTTGCACGGCAGCCAGAGCTAGTGTTGGCGAATGTATGTGGGTGCTGTCAGTCCACGCGCACGTGCTGTAGCAGCCAATGCATATTCGTTTTGCCAAATGTTGGTTATATGACACAGCATGCTTGTACTATCTCTGGGTTTTTTTTTATTGCTTAGATGGGTGAACGAGCTCACAGCTGGTTTTAAGTGGTTACTGGAGCCCATAGACATCTACAACCTTGAGATACAAGTTCTAAGGTCTCAAGCATAGTTACAACGGCTGCCCCACCCTTCAAACCGAAACGGATTACTGCTTCACGGCAGAAATAGGCAGGGTGGTGGTGCCTACCCGCGCGGACTCACAAGTGGTCCTACCACCATTAATTACACAAATTATAATTTAGCGGGTTTCATTTTTATTACACGATGTTATTCCTTCATCGTGGAAGTCAGTCGTGAACATTTGTTGAGTACGTATTTCATTAGAAAAATTGGTACCCGCCTGGGATTCGAACACCGGTGCATCGCTTCAACACGAATGCACCTGACGTCTTATCCTTTAGGCCACGACGACGAGGGTTCTCGTGTCGTGCCGCTTTATCGAAGTGGAAATTCACTACCTAATAGAAGACACGGGATTAGTGGGGTCGTTGACCCCGATTTACAACTGACCTCTTAATGTTTTAAATTGCATGCGGATTCCCTTAATTTTTGTTCTTTAAAATATATAATTAATACTATTATATAACAACATACACAGTACAATTATTAGTGCTTCGCTTAGTAAATTAACGTTATTAATCACATCTGTTAAGTGAAATTAATAATAAATTTTAGACGGTATTCCAATCGGCTGTCGATGCAATGCAATGTCGAAATGCAATCATCGAAATAAAATAAAATAAAAATTGTAAATGGCAAACATTTATTTTAAGCATCAATTATAAATATAATATGAAATAAAAAATATACAACTGATTTAAAATCAGTCCGTCATTTGAATATTAAACCACTAGGAAATAACAATGAAAATAAAAAATGCTAGCAATGTCATGATTTCTTAAACCAAATACACACAAACAAATGAATTAAATTTTAAAATTCAAATCAATTATAACATTAAAAATAAACTCTGTACTAAGCAACTCAGTGGATTATAATCTTTGCACAGGCGTCAAAAGCATAATATGAGTCGACTATTATCAAAGCCGGCAAACTGACTTTTGGACAATGATTGGTAAATCAGAAAAACGAATTATTGACTTTGTATTCCATTGGCAGTCACAAAACTCTTCGGAACAACATCTTAGATAAATAACAGGTTAACTATTAACCTTTATTTAGTGCAGGTTTTGAACCGTATTCTTTGAAGGAGACGATTATATTCAAATCCATCTGTATTGACATATCAATAAATTTTTTTTGTCCAAATGCGCAGATTGCCACCTTTGATAATAGACGACTCATATATGTGTTCGGTTTGAGTGTATTTTTAAAATGTATAGTACCTATTTATTGTTAGTGTAGTAAAATCTTCAAAGATAATGTTTATAATATCGATTATCATTTTGTTTCTGTCGCGAATTATTCTTGCGTTATGAAGCGCACGACGATCTCAGGACATATTGAGACATCGATCTCATGTCGCAAGGTACATTCGCGTTGTGATGACCATGGCCTCCGATAACCATTGAAGACCAGGTTGACAGCAATAAAAAAGTCTTGCGTTATCTGAGTTATCTTAGAGAATGAAAACAAATTACCAGAATCTACAAAAGTATTCGAGAAAAGACGGTACTTTTAAAATATATTGTTACCACGATACCCTCAAATATCGGTCGCGTTTTTGGTTCTATGGTCATTCTTAAAGATTGAATGCGGACATATTTAATAGTAACGTTATCCACTAAGAGAGTCAACTTCAAACGTAAGGTAAATATGGAATCGCAACTTTACGTTACATTGGGGCTGATAAGCCGGCTGGCAATCACGGGTAGCGAGCTTTCACTANTAAAATATATTGTTACCACGATACCCTCAAATATCGGTCGCGTTTTTGGTTCTATGGTCATTCTTAAAGATTGAATGCGGACATATTTAATAGTAACGTTATCCACTAAGAGAGTCAACTTCAAACGTAAGGTAAATATGGAATCGCAACTTTACGTTACATTGGGGCTGATAAGCCGGCTGGCAATCACGGGTAGCGAGCTTTCACTAGTGGTTAAAAATCTAGAAACGAAGCTTTCACTAGTGCTTACAGAGCTAGAAAGCCTTCACTAGTGCTTACTAAAGCTAGAAAAAAAAAACAGTTGCAATATAATTTTCTATTGTGTTTTTGTCAACTGTACTTGTTTTCTGTTGAATAGATCCTGGTGAACTGTAAGAAATTAAAAATTGAAAAAATTTAAGTTCTTTTTTCACAATATCAAGCAAATGTCAAAATGTCATTACCGAAAAAGAAACAAAATCTCAAAATGGTTCGCGACCATGGGCGAAAGCTGATATTATAAAAGACACCAAATCGAGGGGTGAAAAATTATTTGGTCTAAGCGACATTACGCATTATACGCGACATCTATTTTTGTAATTAAATGTGCTTTTTTTTGTTATTAAATATCTTTTTCTAAATTTTAAAACTTTAAATTGCTCTCGTGTATAGTCTCAAAAATATCGCTTAAACCAATAACAGGCTTTAACGCATCGAAATCATTCTTAAAAAAAAAAAAAAAAATGAAATACACTCGCGAGTAAAGTCAATGTCTATTGTATGTATGTATTTATTTATATATGTTATTGAATGCATAAAACAAAGTTACCATAATGGTAAGCAAATTGTACAGAATGATGTTTCCTATATTATCTAAGCTGAGACCAGACCGTCGGGTACCGCTGCTCATTACTGCGACGACAGCCTACGCTTGCCGCTAGGGGCGCTGTTCCAACTGTATACAAATTTGAGTTAACTTTTACGCTATCGAGAGCGTTAAAAAACTCGCACTAAGAACACAGTAATGTGGCCGCGGCTTAACGGGATATTTTGACCACATTCTAATTGCGGTGTGACGTGCCGTGGCGATATTCTTGACACATCATGACGCGGGAATTACCACTAGTTCTTATTAACAGTCATTAAACATAGGGAAGCAGGGACGAGACGAAAAGAAAATTACGTTGACCGATAGTGTGGACTCAGCATTAGATAGGTCATTGACCTCGACGTAACATACAGGGTGTGTAAATCACGAAATCGATAATTTGATTGTGCGCTTAAACTATTATAGTATAGAATTATTTTTTTCGTGTGGGGCTATATTTAAACTATACACTACATTATACCTATATCTAATGCTATACCATAAAACTACGGTATGAGGTATTTACTGTAAGGCACTGTGTCCTATAGGACGGCGTTACCGAACTGTTTGAATTCACTACACTATTTTAACGATATTAAACCATAAATGGAATACATTAAAGGTCGATTTTCAAAATCTTATGGATATACTGGGTGTTAGGAGACCGCTTCCGAAAACGAAGACAGACGATAGTACTAATGACACCTTTGACGATGGGACGGAAAAAAATCGATCCTAATTTAAAAAAAAAACTATTTTAAAACGTTTTATTAGCATTATTTACGTCCCATAATGTTAAAAAAAAACCAGCAATGAAACACAAAATCAGAAACAGCTGATGCTCGGGGTCAACGAACGCGCGGGCGCGGCGCTGATACCGCGCTTCCCAAAATTTACAACTTTGGAGGTACCAATTTTTTGGTTTCGGATGCGGTTTCCTAACACCCAGTATATTATTATATATTTTTACTAAATCTATTAGAGAAACGATCACACGAACAGGCTATTAAATAGCTCATCCGGCAGGATTCCATACTGTTTATTGTGGAGGTCAAACTATTGGTGGGGCGTTAACGCCTCGATTCAACGCCTCTAAACCAGTGACACTCAAAGTCTAAGAATTTTTGCTATTACGGGTACCCTGAATATCGTCGCCAATATTGATTTATTATGAATTATTAAAGTTTCAATGATGGGGGTCCGGGATATTTGAAACCGAAACAGGAAACTGTGGTGCCAGCCAGTGAGGGTAGATCTAGGAAGTTTAGATACGCTATGCAACTGCAATTTAGTTTTGGTCAAAAAAGAAACCACTGTCCCTTTGAAATCACATAAAATTTCAACAAAAATACATTATGAATTGACGATATTTACTTTGCTGTCATATTAGAGACTAATTCAGATGAAACTGTTTTATTTATCTAATAGATAAATATTAGTACATGCGTATCATGTGATTCTATGGATCCCCAAATCGATTCTTTAGGCTAATTTTTATGGAGAACTTTGAGAGCCACCGGCCTAAACGCGAAGGAACTACTAATTTTATTATTTATATGTATCCCCTGTCCACGCAATGTACGACGTTGTTGGCTTCTCTCAGCCTCGTTTCCTTAGTTTTAAACGGTTTGACCTGCCAGAAATCGTCTATGTTAAGTTTTTCTTCGCTCTGTTGAAGAAAAAAAAAATGTATTAGATTGGTGTATTAATTAGGTAGCAGAAAATCTTTTCGCGGTTTTTTATTTATTGCTTAGATAGGTGGACGAGCTCACAACTCGTCACAGCAGAGTAAATGCGCCACCCACCTTAAGATATAAGTTCTAAGGTCTCAGTATAGTTACAATGGCTGCCCCGCCCTTCAAACCGAAACGCATTACTGCTTCACGGCAGAAATAGGCAGGGTGGTGGTACCTACCCGTGCGGACCCACAAGAGGTCCTACCACCGGTAAGCGGATACGCCTAAACCTAAACCTAAAAAAAAGTTACCTATTTTCCAGTCGATTCTTACCTCCATCTCCATACTAACAGCATCTTCGGGCGCCAAGACGATGAACGGGGTCGATTCGAAGCTAAAACCTAACCCGAAGTACGAGTATTTCTTGATTTCTTCCATGAACAATGACTTAGGGTAGATCTTATCAGGATCGCTACCTAAGCTTCGAATTTCTTGCGACAATACGTCGTAATAATAGTCAATGAGTTCATCGTAGTGTTTGTCCCTTAGTTCACGAGTCGTGCACGCGTAAACAAAGAAGGAAACATCTAGAACCGGCGAGGCGCAGCGCGTCAGTTGGAAATCAATGATTTTCGCGTCAACCGGCCGACTATCAACGTATTTGTATAGGAAATTATTCGTCCAGCAATCCCCGTGAGATATGACGCCGGTATCAAGAGTATTCGTGGCGGCATCTACCATCTTCTTGTATATTTCCGGTACGGCGAATTCCTTGACCTTCTCCGAGTATATCGAGTTAGGATATTCCTTTTCGACAGCGTCTATCGCAATGAACCGAAGCCGATCCCAAAACTTCGAATACCAGTCCCACAGGCGTTCGTGGTAGTACGTCTCTAGCAATTCTTTACGAATCCTCTCGAACTCATCCGGTTTTTGGTCTTTCATTGCGAACGATATAGCGTGGAATCGCGCTAAGACCTTGAACGACAATTTCGCGTGGTCATAATCTATACCTTCCTGTCTGACGGCACCGCCGTAATCATATATCGATTCGTCTTCCAAACAAATGACGTCATGGACCCCGTCGACGTATGAGAATAACAATTTCGGGCATTTGTCGAACGGTTCATTGGCGCTTTTTGAGGCTCGGAACTTTGATAGTTCAGGTAAGACTTTCTCGTAGAAACTGATCTCGTTATAGAAGAACTCATTGCTGCGGAACGTCAAGCGCCTAGATACGTTTTTTGGGATGCTCTTTAATACGCACTGGACGTGCTTCGACTCTTTGTTCGAATTCAGGCCGTAGATTTTGATGCGAATCAACTCGCTGAGGTAGGAATCACCCTTGCCGGTGTCGCCGACATACTGAAACCGTTACTTAAGTTTCGATTAATTGATAAACATTGCTGGTGTAAAACTTAAAACTACCCAATTTTTTTTTTAGATGGCCGATGATTCTACGTTCGGCGTGCTATTAAGGACTTAACCGGGTAAGTGTGGCTCTTAGAAGTGTTCAGTCTAATTTGTTCTCTCAAAACGACTGGGAAGATTGGGATTCTTCGAGCCTAGAAGCGACAGGTCTGCGGCAGATATAGTCAGAATGCTGATAGCGGAGTCAACTACCACTAATGATAATCACAAAAATTTGTGAGACTTGNCCGATGATTTTACGTTCGGCGTGCTATTAAGGACTTAACCGGGTAAGTGTGGCTCTTAGAAGTGTTCAGTCTAATTTGTTCTCTCAAAACGACTGGGAAGATTGGGATTCTTCGAGCCTAGAAGCGACAGGTCTGCGGCAGATATAGTCAGAATGCTGATAGCGGAGTCAACTACCACTAATGATAATCACAAAAATTTGTGAGACTTGTTTATTAATATACGTCGCGGTATTTACGTTGGTTACTTTTCGACATCTTAAGCTTATAAACCCAAAACGATGATGACCCTTAGATGGTGAGGTTCAGTAGTCACTGGGCCCATAAGGCACGAAATTAAAGTTCCAATTAAAGATAAAGAGTAACTTGGATATTATATATCATTACCTCCCAATGGGTGAAGGTTGTGTCCTCGCCGAACCATTTGGTGAGAGATTCGTTCAGTCTCTCGTTGGTGATGAGAGGAGACACGCCGGTCAACGTTTTGAAGTCGTCTGCCATTTTGTTTTGCCTGTCAAACAAAAACATATTGCATTCGAAAACGCAAACTATTTTTTACACGAACGAAAGCTATTCAAATTTAAATGTTTATTAAACAAGTTTACCGTTACAGGCTCTTCTGAAGAGTTACAACAACAACCTTACCGCGCCGATTCGGAATATACTTTAGAATCTGATAATGTATCGATAAGAAAATCAAGGCTTCTAATTTTCAACCTCATTAGAACGTTATTATCCTTCAATCACGTTATCTATCGGTAGATATTTCAAATGTATGTCGAATTGGATTCGTGGCGAATAAATTAATGATGCACTGGATAGTAATTTGTTTCATCTGAATTGCTTCCTTATTTTTCCAACTAAACTAAGGAGAGGTCTCTTTTTCACATCATTCCATCTATTTTGTTTTCTTTTTCTCTTGCCGGCATCTTTTTTATTGCTTTGTTGGGTGGACGAGCTTACAGCCCACCTGGTGTTGGTTACTGGAGCCCATAGACGTCTACGACGTAAATACCCCACCCACCTTGAGATAAAAGTTCTAAGGTCTCAGTATAGTTACTCTTTTCTCTTCTCTCACTAACACTTTAGCGCTTCGTACCTTGCTCTTCATATATTCGGTTCTTACCTATCCTAGGTTAATGTGTATAGTTATCCAATATAAATGTCTTTGAGTAAACGATTTCAAAAATAACTGTATTTACTAGTCTCGCTAAAACTCGAGAACGGCTGAGCCGATTTGGCTAATTTTGGTCTTGAATTATTTGTGGAAGTCCTGAGAAGGTTTAAAAGGTAGATAAATATGAAAATGCTCGGAATTAAATAAAAATATCAATTTTCTTTTTGCTTTGATGTGTCCCCAGTCGGACAGATTCCTTTTGTTTGTTTTAAGTTTATTTTATACAAAAGTTTAGGTCTTTTATTTATCGATTGAGGCACTACGAAGTCTGCTGGGTCAGCTAGTCACTTAATATAAACTAATGTCCATTCGTAGGAAAAAACCCGACCATATCTACTGACACATAAAGATGAATTTTATTTAATACATTCGCTCTTTTGTTCGTTATGATTCGTTGGCATAAAACAAAAACTGACAATATCCAAAATGATTACACGAATCTCCTCAATAGCACAACCGGTTGACAAACAGACATGGAATTGATTTCAATTAATTGAATAAGTACTATCTGAACTGTAACGTTCCCAATATCATATATTGAAGTTTGCTGTCCATTCACCGCGTCAGTCGAGTCGGGTTATTGACCCGGATTACAGTGGCATTTCTAGGTCGACTATTCGGTGTAATCTAGTTTAGCACTGCTTCGTCTCTTTCTGTAGATATCGCGAAAGGCGACTAAGCCAATTCCGGAAATTCTGATAACGAATGAATGAGCAGCGTTCTCTAAATATTATACTGCGCACTGCGATGACGAACCGGTATTTGTCTAGTGGTAGGTCATATAGTATGCCCGCACGGAAGAGTACCACCATTCTCCTAGTTCTGCAGCGAAACAGTGGTGGTAGAACCTCTTGTGAGTCCGCACGGGTAGGTACTACCGCCCTGACTATTTCTGCCGTGAAGCAGTGATGCGTTTCGATTTGAACGGTGGGGCAGCCGTTGTAACTATATTGAGACCTTAGAACTTATATCTCAATCGGACCAGGGGCCGAACCTCCTACGAAGTCCCCGCGCCTAGGGGGCGCGCGGGGTATGTGGGGACTCTACGATCTGCAAGGTGTTGGGCGCAGATCGCAGGCCCAAGGAATTTTAGGGCCCTACCGCACTAAACGACTCTCCTGCACTTTTATACCCGACGTTCGATCTCCGTCCGGGGTCAGAACCCGGTCAGAGTAAGGGGGTTCCTGCGGTCAACACTACAACCAGACACGCAGCGCCACCCCGAGGACGCCCGACCGACGGGTCGTCGAGGCGATAGTCGACACCAACGACGCCGGTCTCCGCAGTACGGCGGCCCTACCAGGCCGCCTGGGCGATGCCGCTGGTGTTCCGGGATAGCGCGCTGGGCCAGAACCAGCCTGCCGGGTCGGAACGCGATACACCGCCGACCGGGTTGCTCTTCCAAAGGATGTTCGGCGACGACAGCGACGACGACAATGCGGACCGCATCGCAGGCCGCAGCCGCCGAGGCGTCGTCCCGTCCTCCTGGTGCCAGCGCGCTGGAGTGACGGTAGCGTGCGGCGCAGTCTCAACCCCCTCAGGTCGCCCCGTGACCATCACCGGAAGGAGACAGCCTCCTCACAGGGCCGGGGCTGGACGAACGGCCTCCTCCGACCCCCGGCTCGGCGGCGGCGGCACGGCGCCGAGAGGAAAGAAGATCTCTCCCTCTCCCGTTCCGCCGCCTCCTTCTGCGAGATTGTGGATTCGCAGAAGTCGAACATAGTTCCAGCCAGACAAGCACGTAGAGTAGTTGTATGACCATATATAGGGTGAGATGCCGTGAATCATCTCGTGCCTTACGAGAGCAACTGACCTGTCTGTCTAGTCAGGTAGGTCAGTCTGCTACGTTCAGATCTTACGTTACCAAGACAGTTTCTTGAAAACAAATAATTTCAGGGTTTTTGACGATACGCCAGAAAGATTTATTTTTTTAAATATTGAAAATAGTAACGTGCTTGCCTATTGCTGCTTTTGCCAAGATTATTTTTACTTTTTACAATTCCTGTTTCGTAACATGCGGTCGTCCGCAACGAGTTCTTCTAACAGGTACAAAGAAAAGAAAGGAAAAATGGTTTTCAACATCAACAAGTTAAAAAAAAAACACCCTGAGAGTAAGCCGAACTAAAAATTTTAATTAATCCTCTTCTATCTGCGGTCTGGATAAAAGGTTCGACCAAGATAATAATATATTTTGTGTCGTAATCGGCGTCTAGTAGTAAGTACTAAATTGACAACATCCTAAAGATTATTGTAACTATGCTGTAAGATTTCGTTACATAGATAGTGACAGGTCAATAAAACGTATTTATAAGATAAGAGTTTAAAGATTAAATTTTATGTATAATAAAAATAGGGCACGTGCTAATTGTAAAACATTTTTACGCAAATTGGTTATGGAAAATGTTTTCAATTTTAAGCGTTGGCGGTTTTTTGAAGTAACGAACGGCGGTAGCAACTGATAATTAGACGGGCCGTATAATCGTCAGCCTGCAGAGCCAATATCTGAAACATAACCCTTGCGCCCGCGATTGGCTCCTAACATATGCGGACCTTCCAGTTCCGCATACCCCGCACGCTCCTAACATATGCGGACCTTCCAGTTCCGCATACCCCGCACGCTCTCTAGGCGCCTATCACGATCCTGTGGACCAAATGGTAAACAGTCTACGTCGCCCTAAGCAAGTCATTACGGATCCTCCCGATCCATTAACTGTGCTTTTAGGTACCACAGGCACCAGTCACCATCATCGTCGAGCCCGTCGCGACGAAGGGCTCGACGAGTGAATTAACCCATAAACACAGCCCCCAGAATTTCTCGCCGGTTCTTCTAGTGGTCGCGTTTCCGATCCGGTGGTAGATTCTGCGAAGCACTGCTCTTGCTAGGGTCAGTGTTAGCAACACGCCCGGTTTGAGCCCCCTGAGCTCACCTACACGTTAAGGAGAAGCTGAAATAGTCTCTCAAGGCTATCAGCATAGTAAAAAAAAGGCGCCTGACCCCGTAGAAGGTTCGGCCCAGAAAAAGAAAGGTCTGAAACATAATTAACTAGAGCGACATAGAAAGATTCTGAAAACGCCTCTGTGTAACAGTAAAATTTTACGAATAACATATTTGGTTAACGCCCACGTTCAATGACGAATGACCTTAAGCTTGTACTATTGTATGAAGGCCTTGAGTTTTGTTCAATCATAGAAGAGACACGTGGCCTTTAGTAATTGGCTCTATTGGATGTTGTAAAACCGGATGATACGTTAAAGCGTGTTTTAAAGGGTTAGATGCGAAATATGTTTTAAATTGCTTCTTTTTTTTTGAAGCAGCATTGTATTCTTTATGATAGAGGATTGAAATTTTTGTTTGCCGTAATCAAGGCGGAAGTGTAAACATTATTAGTGGCATTAACTAGTTTATTATGTTCTGTAGTACACAGATAATACAATCATATTGTCCATAAATGAGTTTCGTTCATTATTTTAATTTTAATGTAATACAAATTTAAAAAACATTACCCTGCTACAGGGTAAGTCGGGTAAAATATTAATAAAAAATCCGAGCCCTAAACTTGGAATTAAAATGGCTAAAATAAGATAATACGGTATAAGGAACTGTTCTCAAAGTCTAAATATGTATATTTATTGATTGTTGTCCTATCTTATCTTATTTGAATTTTAGATCGAGTAGAATAGATTATAACGGCACATTGGTACTAGTGGCATTCTTTTTAAAAAGCGTATCTAATGATTAATTACAATTAATGAGATTAATTAACGATTAAACACATTTAGGAAACATGATTAGGTATCTGTATATTTAAAATTAATTACAAAAGCTGAAGACAAAGCCACATGCTAACCAAAATACAAGGTCTCATGATTTTCACGATAACACCATTTAGTCGAAATTTAGTTTTTTTTTTATTGCCCTTGTAGGCAGGCGAGCATACGGCCCACCTGATGGTGAGTGGTTACCGACCCGACCCGTAAAGACACAGTGATACCACCAAGTGACTATACACTATAATAATAGTGATACCATCAAGTGACTATACACTATAATAATAAGGATTTCATATCCCTTCCGAGCATTGAATTTCTGCCTCTACTGACCATGGTTGTCCCTGATAGTTTTCAGGATGCTCTTTATCTAGACTGTTTTTACTATGTTGTCAAGTCGATTGGTTATTTGATTAGATTAGGTTGGATGATTGTTTTTAATTTATTTCACACCTCATGTTTTGTTAAATTTAATAATTTTCTGGAGTTGAAAAGCTAAGCACCTTAGTAGAGTCAGTATAAGATTTGTGGCATGAAGTACGTCTAAACTGTGTCCATTTTGTGGGGTTTAGAGCAATATGTTACAATTTATATCACACATAATCTTTATACTACAGACGCATGATTTAATTTATGCTTACATAACATAGTTATTCAAGATTCAATATTTGCTTCTCTATGTACATATGGTAATCAATGGGGCAGACATTTCTTGAGTTTTTTTTTAAATTAATAATCAAGTAAACAAACTCATGGCTCTCCTGGTACTTGGTGGTTTCCACTATACTACCATCAATTTTGAGGCATAAGCTTTGAGGCTCAATCTTATAGTGTTGACTAGCCTTCAAACTAGGATGCATAACTGTTTTAGGGCAGAAATTGGCAGGGTAGTGGGACCTATCTATGTTGCCGTGTAAAGCACCAGTAAAATATGACATTAGTTAATTGTATATTGTGGTATTTGCCTATTTTGCTTTGTTTCTTAATTTTATTTAGCTCGTTTAGTTATATTACTTAATATACAGTCAAACCTGGGTAAGTGAGAGTAATAACCAGGACCCGTCATTTTAAGCTCCCAAAACCTCTATTAGCGAGACAGAAACCTCTGTAAGAGAGTCTTTTTCCCTCATGGACCTCTGTAAGTGAGACTGCTACTTATCTATACCTCTATAAGCGACAGTCGAGCTTTATTTATTTATTTAGGTGCTTACTCTTCCTTAAACAGAATCCTTTGGGACTACAATAATGTCCACGGTAGCGCGGTCTCCGTCAATGTTCCCTCGGGGTCGTCCGATTGCGCTGAACTTATTTTAAGAGATGTTTTTTCTGACTGTCTCACTACTTACAGGAAAAATCTGTCGCGGATCATCTCCCAATTAAATTAATCATAAGCAATGAATGAAATGTATTCAAATCTTAGCTGTATTTTTTTTTTATTTTTGATGTTAATGCACTGTCGATTGCACCTATAATTGAGGTGACATCTGCCATGAACTTTTGTCAATTTGTCAATGTTTTGTATTGATGATCACTTTGTTGGTGCAACTTAATAAATAAATAAATAAATATTATTTAGGAGGAACAAATTACAAAACAAATTACAAATTTAACATCTGCTATTTTATGATTCATTCTTAACTTTTGTGGAACTTCCTACAATTGTTTTTGTATTATTTTCTCGTCAATATTGAACCTATTCTATTTCGTAGAACTAAATAATGTTGTAATTTTATTGCATTCTTTTTTGAATGGACATGTGTGCCTGTGTGTCGGACTTACTCAGTTTATCGTTAATCAATTGGGAAGAAAAGTTCTGTTCTGCATCATGTCAAAACGGAAAATTAAAGTACTGTCATTAAGTGATAAACTTAAAATAGTGAATGCGTTTGAATCCGGAAAATCGCGAAAGAAAATCAAGAGGGAGCATTAGCGAGAAACTCGGGTTAGTGAGAAACTTCTATAAACGAGAATGAGATTGTGCTCCCTTGAACTCTCGCTTATCCAGGTTTGACTGTATTAGTAGGTCTATTCAACTTATAAGCAAGCTAAAGTAGCAAGATCGGCATCTTACTTGTAGAAAAAACAATAAGTTAAGCAAATTCTGGATTGGAGACAGCGGAAAGGTAAATTTAGTGTAGAGAATACCCAGTAACAAGATGGAGAAACAATATATGCCAAGTAGCATGCAGTGGAGTGGAGTGCCTTGAGAGAGATCTAAGTGGAACGGTATACTAAAATAGGCTGTTAACCCTTTGCATTCGAGAGATGAATTGCTCAAAATATGTGATAATCATCAATTGCTCGGGTGCAAAGGGTTAATAATGATGATAATGATGATTCAATTCATTTCTGACTTACTCATGTAGTGTTAACATAGTTGTACTGTAATTGACTGCAGACTATACTAATTATTTACTAGTTGCTCAGAAAAAATTATGATTTTGAGTGTTCTTTAAGCGAAATTAAAAAAAAAAACTGTCACATTGCATCATTTAAAAATATTTTCGGGACTAAGACTACATAATTTAGAACTTTGTGTTTTAGCGGATTACGAGTGGAAGGATGTGTCGGAAGCGCTGACTGGATGGGTTCATGAAAGGAAAGCGTCATGGTTCGAAGTAAGTAGGTACTTCCGATTTCTAAGAACCACTTGACACTTGACATTAACGTAGACGCCGTGGTAAACGTGTTCTTTGAACAGTTAAAATCTTCTGTTTTATAACTTTTCAATCATTTTAATTCACTTGTCGGTTATAAAAAAGTTTCGTCTTACATAATTAAATTATTTTCACGGAAATATAAATGTGTCATAGTATGTCGGTGAATTTACTCACCGAAAAAATAAGGTTATCTATTTTTTATGAAAAGGAAGTTATAGAAATCAATGCTTACCTTATAAAGAATGTGAATTATAATAAAAAAATTCTCAGTTATTAAATAACGTTTTAGATTTAATAAGAAACGACTTTTAAAAGGTCGCCGCGTCGGACGTACTCACTGACTTTCTGTAACTCACTACAAGCAAATAATTCACTCTCTACCAAGATCTGACTGTTTCTGTCAAAAAAAGACATCGAACACTATTTTTATAGACAAGCATTTCGGCGAATTGCCATTGAAAAAATACGCTGGAAAATATATTTGACAACTTAGTGACGTGGTCAGTGATGTGAAGCTATGCCATGTTGACTTCTTTCTCATCATTTTACTGAGATCATTTTACATTTTATTTCATTGCAACTTAACTAATTTAATTCCATAAACATTTCATTTCACTTTCTGTATGACAGATGTTGCTTCACCATATTTTTTGCATTTAAATTAGTTTTTTGATGTGTTTTCCCTTTGCTTGTCCAATTGGGTAAATAAAAAGTCTTATTGGTAAAATATTTTTTTTGGTTTTTAATTGTTTTGTTTTGTTAGTTTCTCTCGTTAGATTGATCTCTTTCTCGAGGTTAGGCAGGTTTAACTTCTAAAAAAAAAAAAAAAAAGGTTTAACTTCTAGTCAAACATGGGTCCCAGACGTACTGGCCTACAGCTTTGAGCGTAAAACTTACGATCTTTACTGGAATCGGCACTACATGGTCATTCGACATAATTTTTGTTTTGTCCATGTTCATGTTAAGGCCCACTCGGACAGAGGCCTACTGAGGTCATTGAGCAATCTGCTGAGGTCCTCCAAGGTCCATAACCACAATATTATCGGTAGAGTTGCGTTGCTCGAAGCCACTCGAAAGTGAGTTATGCAATGAACGTTGATGTTGATGCCAAGCCCATTTCAGCCTAGAACTTTAAAACCATCCTCCAATGCCAAATATCTTCCAATTTCATATATTTACCTATAACATAAATAGCAGATTTACAGAAAAACTAATTTGCAACCTATGGAGGGTAGAGACATGGAGAACTTATAATATCTTATACGGGAGAATGGTTTTAAAGTGTCAAGTTTAAAGAATCAAATTACAACTCAAAAATCCACCAAAATAGCGCCAACGTAGCAAGTGGTATATATGATCTGAATGTAGCAGTTGTAAACGAAGCGATAGTGATTATATACTCTTTGCGAAGCGAAGTGTCATGAGTTGGAAAATTTATAAAAACAACTTCTAGCGCTCTCTTTGAAATCACACTTGCTACGGTGGCGCCACCTTAATTAGTCGTTTTTCGAGGGACCCTTTTTCATCACAGAGAGCATGGAGGATAGATGTAAGCAGAATAAACTATGCAGGTATATGTATGAAAAAATTGTCCGTCGAAATGTATTAAATTAGGGTGGCGCCACATTATAACCAGGGTAAATTTTCAAGGAAGCGCCAAATATTATTAGAGTAGGTTTGATAGATAATTTTTCATAAAATGAAATGTTAATAAATCAATAACCGTAACATTCACAGTTTACGAAATAGAATCACCCTCAGTACACGTTTTCTTGTAATAATTATTTAAGTTACTGCATTATTTTATACAATGTAAAAGCATACAGCTGGATACTTTTTCAACTATTCTTATTTAAGAGATGATTCTTTTTACCTCTAGCTCTACCTTTAACAGAGAGTTTGCTCCTTAGTTCTATCCTCCATAATACATTTAATAGACAATTTGTCATGTGGTAACAACAAAACCCAATAGATGGCGGTTTAATCAATTTACAGTATGATTCGTTGTAACTTTATTTTTTTTACTAGCGACTCGCCCTCGCTTCGGTTCGTGGACTATAATTTATTATTGATTTTATTTAATTTTCTTATATACAAATCTGAACCTGATCTAGTGCCTTGAAAATTCACATTACGTATAGAATCGTCAACGATGTCTGCCCGTTTTAGTTACTGTCACCGCACGCGCGCTCGTCCTATTCACCATAGATAATACACTTAATATTTGACCATTCACCCGTCGCCGGATCGCACTTTAATAGTGTAGGTAGGTACTCGACTCGGTTGTTTATAGTTTTTTTTCCCTACCGAGGCTGATGGAATTGAGTGACCATTTCAGCGTAACCTTAACTAATGGCTCACGGGGCTTAACCTGACGTCGTTGCTAACACTAACCCTAGCAAGAGCAGTGTTTCGCAGAATCTACCACTGGATCGGAAACGCGACCCACTGAGAAGATCCGGCGAGAAACTCAGTGGGCTGTGTCTATGGGTTAATTTACTCACCGAGCTCTTCTTCGCAAGCGACGGGTTCGACGAGAAAATGTTTATAGTTATAGCCATAGACAATAAATACACTTAATATGTACCTACCAAAACTATTCAAATATTTGTCCAAATGATGTAGCGTAAAAGACAAGTTTATCTATTTTAAATACCAGATGCGATAAAAGTTTATATTTTGATATAAGGATTAATTTGTTACTACCAAATGTGCGTTAGAAATTAATTATGAAGTTTTATTGTATTTATGGTTCACTATTTTAGCGATAATGGCTTACACGTAAAATATTTTGTTAGAATATTTAAGATAAACATTTCCGCTGTACCTACATCGTACACGTGTAACTAACCAACGTTTTTGTAGCGCACGCCAAAATAAATGGCAGATGGTAGTTTTGTTTCCTACTTACTTGACACGTAACGTTTTAATCTTTAAATTATTACGTGAAGCAAAAACTTTGTATTCCTTTTTACGAAAGTTGCGCGGACGGAGGCGTATGAAATTTTCACACTTATAGAGAATATAAAGAAGAAGTGCACAATGCTAATATTTTTTAAAAATAATGTATAAAAGATACATTAAATCAATAAAGAAAACATTACACACACTACATACCATGTATTTGACGCACACACGCATGCATACTATTTATTGTCAAACTTTTGTTCTTGACGTCTGTTGTCAAATTGATAATAGATTAAATATTGTTTGTCTTTGTTAATATTTTTTATAGTGTAGTCTTGGCGAAATTTGTGATTATAGAAGTATAAAATACAATCATAATAGTGTACAAACTTACAATTCCAATTCATTATAGTCGAATTTCGACTACTGCGGGACCTCTAGTTTGGATAATTCACTCTGTATCTTTATAAAATACGAGTATAGCTTATGTGTTATTCTGATGTGTAAGATATATTATTGTAAAGTTTCGGTAAAATCCACGCAGTAGTTTTAGTCAAAATTCTAATAGAAAAGAGTTGGAATACATTCTCCATGTTATTAGCTATAATTTAAGGCGTGGAAATTTGGAAAAGAAAAGCGCTCCAGTTAATCTGACACATCTAAAAAATGCATTATGGAAAGATACTTTTTGGCGGGAACGCGAGGAGTGAAGTTGTGTGATTTGTTTTCTTTTGTCTATTTAGTGTCTCATCAGGTTTAAATAATAATATGTAATAACGGTGGTTTGTTAACTGTTTAATATCAGTGAAGTGCACAAATGTGGAAAAATGAAACAAAGCCGCTGTCTTTGACAATAGAACCATAATAATATTCAAACTTATAATTTCAATTAATTATAGTCGAAATTCGACTACTGCGGGCCATTCGTTCTTATTAACAGAGGAGGAAATTACGATTTTACTTTTGTTTTCATTAAATTCGTTTTAATTGAAAAACATTAACAGTAACGTCACTTATAATCGATTTTGGTACTCTATATTGGTGCTTTCGAAAGGAAAACTTAACTTTGTGGTCGAATAAAACCAATCTATAGTAATAATATTATAAAGAGGAAAAATTTGTTTGTTTGTATTGAATTGAAAAATTCTTTCACTGTTTTGAAGCTACACTATTCCCGAGTGACATAGGCTGTAATCTTTATTGAAAAAAATTAGGGATCCTTACTAACACTCCAATAATAGAACCCAACGTGTAAAAAATTGCTTAAAATATTCTTTACACCGCGTGCCCTTTTTTTTTTTTAACGCTGGGGAATCCCTTTTTGGATACCCGGTCCGGGGGGTAACGACCCGGGTTATGTCGGACTCCGGCGCCTCCTGAGAGGAAGAGGGGGACGAGGAGGGCCAAGGTTCTCCACCTCCCCGAATTCGTCACAGGAGACTACGCCTCGAAAAAGGCGCACGAGGCGCTCGCCCCGCAAAACTAACTACCGACTGAGCCCCATCGAGCTCCACCACACCGGCTACACCAGACCTACGGTACCGCGTCGAAGGTCCGCCTTCGCCAGTACCCGTCCTGATGATAAGACGGGATTTCATCTCCGGGAATATCCCGAAGGACGTCGTATCGGGAGACGCGTGCCCTGCGAAAATTATTCTTGATAGAATAAAATAATGTACTACAACTTTGTAGAACACATTATTATTTACAAAAAGTTTCGTGACAGCATATGTCTAACTATTATAGTTGTGCCGCAATAAGTGTTCTTTTATTTAAACAAATAAAACAACGTCAAATTATATCGTTGAAATTTTTGTTAAAGACCCGAGCGGAGCCGGAGCGGACCGCTAGTCTTTTATAAGTTTACTACGTGCCTGTCGATATTTGCAAACGTAATTCACAAAATTTTAACTTTTTAATCTACCAGAGACACAAAAAAGTTACTTTCAGGGTTTTCCTCTAACTTGTGCTATAAGACCTTGTTTCGATTTTCGTTCGAATTTCCCGGTTACAGATCAATAGGTAACGACCGACAAGTTTTTTTTATTTTTGTTGTATAGATGGGAGCTCACAGCACACCTGGTGTTAAGAGGTTACCGGAGCCCATAGACATCTACACCGTAAATCTCGCCACCTACTTTGAGATACGAGTTCTAAGGTCTCAGTATAGTTACAAAGTCTGCCACACACTTCAAACCGAAACGCATTACTGCTTCACGGCAAAAATAGGAAGGCTGGTGGTACTTACCCGTGCAGACTCACAAGAGGTCCTACCACCAGTAATTACGCAAGTTATGATTTTGCGGGTTTGATTTATATTACACGATGTTATTCCTTCACCGTGGAAGTCAATCGGGAACAGTTATTGAGTACGTATTTCATTAGAAACATTAATATCCGCCTGAGATTCGAACACCGGTGCATCGCTCAATACGAATGCACCGGACGTCTTATCCTTTAGGCCACGACGACTGGACTCGACTCTAGTTTGATATTTGTATGACCTTTTTTCAACATAGACCTTAGTATTTTGTGGTAATTGGCGAGAAAAATG